GGATCCAGACTGCTGTGCGTTCTCTGCCATCTTCAGCACTTAGCCTCTAAGATTGCTATGGGCATCTCCAAGATAGACCATATCCTAGGCCAGTGATGGCGAACCTATGACACGCGTGTCTGAGGTGACAGGCGAACTCATTTTTTTGGTTGATTTTTCTTTGTTGAATGGCATTTAAATATATAAAATAAATATCAAAAATATAAGTCTTTTACTATGGTTGCAAATATCAAAAAATTTCTATATGTGACATGGCACCAGAGTTAAGTTAGGGTTTTTCAAAATGCTGACACGCCGAGCTCAAAAGGTTCGCCATCACTGTCCTAGGCCATCAGTAAATGTAAAAGGATTCAAGTCATACAAAGCATATTCTCTGAGCAGATGGACTTGAAATAGAAATCTATAGATATCCTGAAAACCTCCAAATATTTGGAAATTAATAATACATTTCTAAATAGCCCATGGGTCAAAAAAATAAAAATATACATAAAGTATTTTGAACTATTTAAAAATTAAAATATAACATATCAAAAATTGTAGGTGCTGATAAAGCAGAACCTTGAGAGAATTTTATAACAGTAAACTTCATTGTTAGAAAAGACAAAAGATCTCAAATCAGGTCAGTTTCTAGCTTAAGAAATTATTTAAAAAGAAAAGCAAATTAAATCCAAAGTAAACAGAAGAAAGGAAATAGTAAATATCAGTACAGAAATTAGGGCAATGAGAACCAATGAAAATTGATGAAACCAAAAGCTATTGAGAAAAATCAATAAGCTCCTTAATGTGACCTGAATCCTTACAAATTTAATGAACAGAATAGACACTCCAGAAATAGATTCATGCATATATGGACAACTGATTTGAGATAAATGTGTCAAAGTAATTCAGTGGAGAAAGGATAGTTTTTCAACAAATGGAACTAGAAAAAATGGATATTTATATGCAAAACAATGAACCCTTCTCTTATACCATCTACAAAAATCAACTTGAAATGGATCATAGACATAAAGGTAAAACCTAACATTATAAAACTTCTAGAAGAAAATACAGGAGAAACTGTGACCCTGGCTTAGGCAACGATTTTTTTAGACAGTACACACAAAAAAGCACAAAGATTTCTATTCTTTGAAAGTCCCTGTGAAGAAAGTGAAAAAACAAAGCCACAGACTGCAAAAAAAAAAAAGTGCACAATAGATATCTGTTAAAGGATTTGTATCCAAATATATAAAGAAATCATATAAATAATAAGCAAGACAATCCAATTTTTAAAATGAGCAAATGATTTGAATACTTTACCAGAGAAGAGATATAGATGGCATACAAGCACATGAAAAGAAGTTCAGCATCATTTGTCATTAGGAAAATGGAAATTAAAACCACAATGAGATACATACATAAAAACTACATACCTACTAGAATGGCAAAAGTTAGAAAAAGGCAATATCAAATGCTAAGGAGACTACAAAGCAATTAAAACTCTCAATATTGTAGAGGGAATATAAAATGGTGCACGCACTTTGGAAAACAGGTCAACGGCTTAATACAGGGGTGGGCAAACTTTTTGACTCGAGGGCCACAATGGGTTCTTAAACTGGACCAGAGGGCCGGAACAAAAGCATGGATGGAGTGTTTGTGTGAACTAATATAAATTCAAAGTAAACATCATTACATAAAAGGGTACGGTCTTTTTTTCCAATAGTTTTATTCATTTCAAACGGGCCGGATCCAGCCCACGGGCCATAGTTTGCCCACGGCTGGCTTAATATAAACTTAAACATACACTTTACATACAGTCCCGCCATCCCACTCCTAGGTGTTTATCCAAGCGAAATAAAAACTTACATTGACACAAAAACCTGCACATAATTACATATAGATAAACTGGATTACATAAAAATTGAAAACATTTGTGCTACAAGTGATAAGTAAAAAAACAAAACACATAATGGTTCACAGATCTAGAACAAATACTCCAAAAATTTATATGGAACCAAAAAAGACCCCAAATAGCCACAGCAATCTGGAGAAAGAAGAACAAAGTTGGAGGGATCATAATACCAGGTATCAAGTTATACTACAAACCCACTGTAATCAAAACAGTCTGGTACTGGCACAGGAACAGGAATATAGATCAATAAAATAGAACAGAGACCCCATAAATTGACCCAGGCCATTACGCTCAATATTTGACAAAGGAGGCAAGAGCATACAATGGGATCAAGATAGTCTCTTTAATAAATGATGTTGGGAAAATTGTACAAACACATGCAAAAAAATGAAATTAGACCGTCAACTTATACCATATACAAGAATAAATTCAAAATGAATAAAAGACTTAAATGTAAGTTGTGAAACCATAAAAATCCTAGAAGAAATCTAGGCAGCCAAATCTTAAACATCTCTCATAGCAATATGTGTGTGTGGATACATCGCCTAGGACGGGTGGGCAACCCCTGGCACGCGTGCCAAACATGGCACACCAGTAACTTTTGCTGGCACGTGAAACCTTCTCTTCTAATCTTCCATTTACAATTTTTTTCTTAATATCAACTTTTTTATTTTTCAGATAAATTCAGTGTAGGTACATCTTATATAAATAAATAATTTTACATAGCATGTAATCTTAAAGACCATAGACATAGATTGACGAGAGAGGGGAAGAGCAATTTCTGTGCCTCTGCCTTAACTCTCCCTGCCTTCCTAGATCCGACCAGTATTATAAATAAATGGGACTACATTAAAATAAAAGCTTCTGCAAAGCAAAAGAAACAATCAACAAAATGAAAAAGGAGAATATATTTGGCAAATGGTACATCTGCTAAAGGGTTAATATCCAAAATATATCCGGAACTCATACAACTTAACAAAAGGATGACAATCAATCCAATTAAAAAATAGACAAAGGACTAAATAGACACTTTTCCAAAGTGGATATACAGATGGCCAAGAGACATATGAAAAAATGCTCAAAGCCACTGATCATCAGAGAGATGCAAACTGAAACAACAATGAGGTAGCACCTCACATCTATCAGAATGGCTACCGTCAACAAATCAACAAATGACAAGTGTTGGCAAGGATGTGGAGAAAAGGGAATCCTAGTACACAGTGGGTGGGAATGCAGACGGGTGCACCCATTATGGAAAACAATATGGACTTTCCTAAAAAAATTAAATATGGAACTGCCATTTGACCCATTGATCCCACTTCTAGGATATCCTAAGAAACTTCAAAATACCAATCAGAAAGAATTTATGCACCCCTATGCTCATAGCAGCACAATTTACAATAGCTAAAATCTGAAAATGCAATTTTG